ATAAAAACAGTAAATACTACAATCATAAGTTTTGTAGTTTTATTGTGTATTAAAAAGGGCAGTTGCTAACAAGTGGCTAAATGAGCCTACAAGAACGTCATCACACCAAACACAGCTTTATATCCTAGTTGTGGTGGCAATGTGGTGGTAGTTCCTTTATATGTAAGCTTTTTATTTCCAGCAATTGTTTTTACACTTCAGAACCCATAAAAGTGGTGTTGGTTTATGAAGATTATCTTACAGAACAAAATGTGTAAGTTTATTTTCTGCAGTAATCCAAAATCCAATTGAAAATTCACATTTTTTGTTGTTGTTGTGGGGACCAGGCTGATGTTAATTATGCATTCCATTTACCATCTGAAGTTGGGGGTCGGAGCTGGGAATGACATCAGTTATACCGTATTTTAGCACAGCAAGTCAGAAAACCACAAGATGTTGTTAGCAATACCAGTTCTATCCAGGTTAGCCACTGTAAGCAATATCAGTTGATAACGACAGCTCATGCTCTATTTTGCCCATACAAACACTGTTGCAGTTTACAGATAGACATTAGCCAGGACTGTGTTAATGAGACACAAATAAGACAGAAGTGCTAATAAACAGCATTGTTGTTCTGACTACTGTTGATGCACAGACCAGCCATCTTGGATTTTGAGGTTGGGGTTGGTGAGATCCATGTGACTTTATGAGTCGGATGTCTGACTTCACGGGGATTTCTAGTTGATATTTTTCACAGTGCAATTGGAATGCACCAAAATTTGTGGTTGGCCTACAAAAACAACGTCACCTCTGCAGCGTTTCATTACAGTAATTGGAGAAAAATTATGCTTTTATTCAGGTTAAAGTAAAAACAACAAAAAAGTTAATTCATGCCTATTGCACTGTAGTGTATAGGCATTTTCCACAGAAGACATTTTGACATGTCACAGTAGGAAAAGCACAGGTGTAAATAATCAGATTAATGATGGTTGAATTCCATTTAGCTGCTTCAGTTTCAGGTTCCTGTTACTGTGTGTGCTGGCTCACTGTCACACTGTCATGACTTACTGGGGCACTTGAATAGAACAGAGCCACCATTAATGGTATAATTAGTAACACCTGTGCTGTTTCTGCTGTGACAAGTCAAAATGTCTGCTATGAAAAAGGTCACATTTTAAAATAAAACCGTTTTAGGAAACATGGACTTTTCTTCTTTATTTAATCAAAAAATTTAATAAATGTGTCTGTGATTCTAGTGTGTGTTTGCTTTTTCTGATCAAAGTAAGCACAGTTTTTTTGTAATGAAATACCCGTATTTTCCCCCAATAAAATTCAAGTACATGACTATTTATGTCATTTTCATGGAAAGCCTGGAAAAGTCATGGAATTCCACTAGTTAATTTTCCAGCACTGGAAAAGTCATGACATTAGTAAAATCTTTTTCAGAAATATCATGGAATTTTGTTATGTGCATGAATGAAATTGTTACAGTTATCTTCTATAAATAGCCTTTCATTCATTGTACCGTAATGACAAATTTAATTTCTATGGCTTTTGACGTAACGTTCCTCTTTTTTGCGTTGATATGTGACAGTTTCTTTATTTTCTCCATGCGTTTTGTCTCCCTCCAAGTATGTCTGGTAGCTGGAATGATAGAATAATGGATTTTGATTCTGATATGTTTAAATAACACTGCGCAAATGGGGCAAGGAAAATAATGTTGTGACCGTGTGGTTTCCATACCCATTATTGCACTGCATTTTTGAGATGGAGAACAGTAATTGACATGGGTAGCCAAGGGCGTGCAATTGTCACTTGGACCGCCATCGCGCACTTTGGTTTTATTTTAACTGCTATGAAAGTAGAGCATGGAAGGTACAGAGCATTATGTTTGAAGTGGATCATTACTGACTGAGGTAGCATTGATGGTCAAATTGAATGATCAGTAGTTTGGAGAGCTATGTCAGGTAATGAGAACAATTCTTTTTACTGAGTTTGAATGTTATGTATACATAATGCAAACATAATGCTGTTGTTGCATAGGTCAGTCATTTGGGCTTGTTCAAACCTGAGGGCATCCATGTGTGAAGTTAGCGCTCCACATGGCCTGTCATGGTGTGCCCTTTGTGTTTAAGCTCTATTTGGTTTATTTCTATAACTTGATGGTGTGGACTCTCTTCATTGTACTGTATCTGCCTGTCTGTGTGCGCGCCTTTGTGAGTGCGTTTGAGCATGCCGCTTGTGGGGGTGGGGGAGAGGGTGTGTACATGATGTTGCATTCGGCGTGACCAGAACTCTGTGTGTTGCATGTGCTGTTGTGTGCGGAGGAGAGAGGCAGGGAGACACGGCATGGTTCAGGCCAGGAATGTGCGATGTGGGTAGGCCTTACAATAGAGCCGGGCTCCCTGAGGGTGGTCAATGGGACGGGTGTCACCCCCCTGCACCCTCCCTGCTGGGTGATGACCACCACACAACGCTACAGCTGTCAGGTCCTCTTAACCACCGCTGTAAACACACATACATTACGAGGACAACTGCACATGTATGGACGCACTGAGACATACGTGAGCACACAGGCACGCATGTGCTAAAGTGCAGAAGAAATTACATGAACACTCACACAGCTCTCGCGCAGTGTGTACATGTGTTAGCCACATGCACCAACCTGTGGATACATGTTTGTGCATTGTATGTAAACATGTAAATATAAACATCTGCAAAAGCACTCAGAGCAGATTCCAACATATTTGCTGTGTTTCTTAACTCAGTGACCTCTCACACAGAAAGGATGCCTTTACATGTGGAGCTGTGTATGTATGTGCAGACACTGTGCATGTGTGTGTGCATTCTGTCACATATGCCCACATGTGTTTACGGTACTTATATGCACTCTCGATTCACGTGACTGGCACTCGGAGCATTGTGATTTGCGTCATGTCCGCTCAACCTTGGACTTAGCTGGTGTGTTAGCGAGCAGGGGTCACAGAGGTCACTGAGGGTAAATAAGGGAATGCAGAGATGACAGGGAGAGAGAGCTCAGCGGTCTTTCGGGAGTTAATATAGTTTGTGGTTTATTTTAATAAACAGCTGCGGGTCGGTAGCTGTTTCGGTGCAGTTTTCACTTAAGCTGCCCACTTTTTCACCTCAAAGTTTGCCACTGTTTTCACTGGTGTCAGGAATTTGTTGAATTCAGGTTAATAGGTAGTGCTGGTTCTAGGAAGTTTGTGGCATAAACATTGCCCACCCCCTATCCTTCTCCAACTGCCGCAGCCCACCCTCTACCCAGGGGGCTGTGTGTGTTTCTGTGTTTCCCCAAGGATTACAGGAGTCTTATCCAGTTTCATAACAAGTACATACATGTACACACATAAACACACACTAAGCTGGCTTTATGCACTCTTCTGTCATCTGAAGACACACATGACAAGGGGTAAGGCTGTATTATTTCATTCAGTCTTCACATTTGGTTACACAAGTAAAGGTATTACAGTACGCTGTGTGTGTGTGTGTGTGTGTGTGATTGAGAGTCATCATTCTATAAACAGCCTTTTTTTTTTTGCTAAACCTTTACAGTTTGTGTCACGTCAGTCAGACTTGTCATTCAGCTCCCCCTAGTGAGCTCAGAGGAAAGTGGAATTTTGCAAATGACAGATTATGATTCAAGTCAAACCTGTTGAATCAGGGGCTTGAGAGGTTTCATTTTCATTTTAGGTGTCTGAGGTTTTGAGTTGTTGTCTACATGACTGCATTTTGTTACATTTGTTTTCAGAGCTTTAAAGGAATACTTTACCCACAAATCTATTGTGTGTATCAGTTAGTCATGCTGTGTTTCCTTGAATTGAAAGAAAACTTTGTTTTTCTTGCATGCAAACAAATGGAGAACATAAATTTATTGAATGGGGACCACATTTAACAACAATGAAACTATAACAAAACATCCTTATAGAATCTCTGACACAATCTGTGCAGTAAAATTAAAGTATCATTTATCTAGTCCAGGGGTCAGCAACCATAATAAAAAAGAGCAGTTTTTGGCCAAAAAGAAAGAAAATCTGCCTCCAGCTGCAAAACATATTTGAGCCTGATAATGAAGGAAACACAGCTGTTGAAGGCTTAATTATCCTGTCAACATAACTAAGAGGTCTGAATGAGCATTCGTTAATATGTTTTCCCACAAAGTGGCTCTACATTGGGCTATATATGATTATTCAGTACTTTTAACTTAAGGCGTTGTCGATAAAAGCGAACAAATCTGTCCATTTTTGGACAGAGCCTTTTCATTTTTTGGATTTGGAAGCCATAGTAAGCCTATCTGGGGAAACTCGAGACTAGACAACGCTACGAGGGTTCATCAAAATTTAGAGGAACGAGGTGCCAGATCACAGACATGTGATGCACATTTTAGTTTATGAGATGTTAAATCATTTTGTTTTTAGTGTGTAAGCTACAAAGTTTTACAAATGGAGAATGTGAGAGTCACTTTAGGCCTACAACAGTGATAAAATATAAGAGCCAGAGCCGCAGTTTGACCCCTGATCTAATCATTTGCTCAGTACTTCCCAAACACATCCTTTTTTTTTTTTTTTTTTTTTGAAAAATCCTTAATGTTGGAGTCTGGCTTTGAAGAGAGCACAGATAAGTTTCACCTTCAGTTCAGTTTAGTTTTGAATCGTGAGGTTTTAGCGAAAATGGACGTGTCTGGGAAGCACTGAGCATACGACTGGATAAATTAGACTGGATTATACTGCAGGACTTGTGTTAGAGATTGTAAACTGATGTTTTTATATAGTTTTGCTGTTAAACTTGGTCCCCAATCAATCAAACAATCAATATGTTTGCCAAATTCCCTGGAGCCATGCAGCAAAGTTTTCTTAACCAATTCAATGTAACATGGCATGGCTAATTGATATACAAATGGTCATTTTGTGAGTGAAGTATTACTTAAAAATAAAATAAAATGACACTGAAATCACATTTGTCAACTTATCGTTGTGTTTGTCATGTTTGCTCTCTCCTTGCAGGACAGTAAAAATGCAGAGCAGTGTTTCCCACTCACCGCCAACCATAGCTGTTGGGACTGGGTGAGGAGGAGAGAACAAGAGATTGAAGTAGAGGAGCGACTAAAGTACAGAGAGAAGGCAAGTGCAGAGACAAAAGAAGGACAAGTTCAACAGGTAAACAGTTGATTTTATAAGGAAAATATGTTTAATGTTGCCACAAACTTGGAAACAGTAAACTTCAAAGTATGTATTTTCTGTCTCATCCCAGATTTTGTATCGATGTTTCCGCTGGATCGTTGGCCCTTCCTGTGAGCTCTTGAGTGCCTTCTTTTTCGACAGCCCTTCCCTACCCAAAACTTCCCACGTTGAGCCTGCAAGGCAGGGGAGCCACAAGTGAGTTTTCATGGCAGCGGCACTCTAGGGCTGCCATGGCAGCTGCTGCCGCCGATGCCTCACAACGTATTACCGCACTGACGCCGGAGGAAGAGGGACGACGGACTGCCGCCAAGCTGTTTGGGAGCGCAGCCCCGCTGCCACGGACAGAGAGAGAGAGAGAGCGAGAGAGGGGGAAAGAGAGAGAGAGGGAGAGGGAAGAAGGAGAAGAGGTAGGGAAAGCGAGTGGGAACGAGTGTTTGGTGTGCGGGGCCCTGTTTGCCTCACAGGAGAAGCTCCGGCTCCACGCCTTGAGTCACACAGGAGAGAAACCCTTCCACTGCTCACAGCCACACTGTCCTAAGGCCTTCAGCTCCAAATACAAGCTCTTCAGGTACTGAGAATTCATCACATTCACATCCTTTAAAAAACAGTATGATGCATGGCGTATTTAGCTTTCTTAGACTCTCCAATGAGCAACTTGAGAAAGGCTTTAATTTTTACATTGACTTAATGTGTAAACCTGAAAAAGTAAACACTTTATCATCAGAGAGCAAAACTGAATTATCTTTTCTATCAATAGTTCTAGCTTGACTATTTATAAGTTAAAGGCATCACCAATAATAGCAAACCCACTCAGAATTATCACCTGACTCCGCACTTCCCCTCAGCTCTACAAAGAGTTTTAGCATCTTTCAGCTCATTGTTTTGGTTTCACAGCCTGCAACTTTAGTGTTTTGATTCATTAGTGTCATTTTTAGAGACAGCAGGCAGCTGTTTCCAGTGAGCTCTGATCAGTGTACACTACTTACCCTGCTCCAAACAGCAGACAGACAATGTTAGCAACTAGCAGATGAACATTGCATCAATCAGCAAGCTGAAGAGCCAGATATTTCCCTCAGTTGGTGGAGACCAAAGTGAATTCAAATGAATGATACTGTTGCTCTGTAATGGCTGGAGGTGTAAATAATCACCTGTTGCCTTATCAGCTTTATTAGTTTTCCCACAGTGTCCAAAAAAAAGCCAATGAAGGGGTGCAGGAATGAGTCCTCAGTTAGCATTTTTGCACTCCCGGTTCCCTCATCTCAAAGTCAGTGGGTTTTTTGAATGAGTTTTTGGTTTGATAGCTATGGTTAACACAAGCTTCAGATATTTTATTGTTTTGTTCTATGACATAAAATAATAAAAATTCTTAAAGAAAAAGAAGTAGCTAAATGAGACTATGGAACATCGTCACACCGAACAGGGCTTTACAGCCTCGTTGTGGTGGTGACATTAAGTTATGCGACCGTTTGTTTACAGCCAAACATTAGCTTTTTACTTCTGGCGATTGCATTTAGGCTTCAAAAATAATCAAAGTGTTCATTAGTGAAGATTATCTTGCTGAACAAAATGTGTAGGTATCACAAACTTTTGTTTGCCACAGAGCTCATTTTATGCAGTAATCCAAAATCCATTGGGAAAATCCCATTGGCTTTTTGATGAGGGAACTCGGGCCATGCTAACTTCTGCTTCGGCTTACAAAAAACGCAACTGTCATTGGTAGTTACAGACCAACGCAGCTGACATTTTCACAGCCAGCACCCCATGTACATGCACCCATCTGTGTGCACATGGTCATGTATGGCTTGAAAATGAGGTGTGGTCATACGCATTGTTGACAGATTTCTATTCAGGGCAGCAGAGAGCAATCGTACAATTGATCAACAAAAACCTGGTTTTAAGTCAGAATGGTGCAGTATTTTCCAACTATTTGAAGTGTGCATTACAACATGTGTGCGCTTGTTACACACACAGGGATGTTTGCAGATGGGTTGCAGGTGGGTGAAATAATATATTGTTAATGAGGAGAAGATAAATGACATTCTCTAAAATGTGAACATAGCAGAGACAAAGCATAGCTGCTGTCTCACAATATTTGCTGCAGGGAAGATACTGCTCTTACTGCATCACTCTCAGCAGAAGAAGAATTGCACTTCTCCAATTTACTGAATTTGCCATGTAAAGGGAAAGGGAAGGGGGATGATACCCTGACTAATTCTTTTTATACCCAAAACACACCTATGGTTAATTTAGGGACTAAATATAACCTTCTTGCCCCTTGAGTCTTACTTTGCTCCCAGATTCCGCCCCATTTAACTGTCAAAAGTGGAGTCTAACACGCCCTAAATGCACTTGCACCATGCACTTCAGTCCATGCACTATAGATTGTTTAAATAGGGCCCTTCGTCTCAAACTCATCAACATACTAGGATGTTTGGAATCTGGTGAATCACAGGAAGTGGTTCCAAAACCCATTTTGGGTCCTGGCTGCAAACCACTGTGACTCATTTATGTATATATGGACACAAGGGGTTTGACTGAAGGGAATTCATGCCTCACTTTAGCCTACACACCACTGACAGACTGCATAACAAATGTGACAACAAGACAAGGAATGTGTAACTAAAACAACCCAACAATTTACAATCTTTCTTTTTCTTGTAGGCATATGGCCACACACTCTCCACAGAAGACCCATCAGTGCTCGTATTGTGAGAAAATGTTCCACCGCAAAGACCACCTAAAGAACCACCTGCAGACCCATGACCCCAACAAGGAGGCCTTCAAGTGTGAGGAGTGTGGGAAGCACTACAACACAAAGCTGGGATATAAGCGCCATGTGGCCATGCACTCTGCCACAGCAGGAGATCTCACCTGTAAAGTGTGCATGCAGAGCTACGAGAGCACTCCCGTGCTCTTGGAGCACCTCAAGAGCCACTCTGGGAAGTCTTCTGGTGGCGCCAAGGAGAAAAAACACCCGTGCGACCACTGTGACCGTCGTTTCTACACGCGGAAGGATGTGAGACGGCACATGGTGGTCCACACGGGTCGAAAGGACTTCCTGTGCCAGTATTGTGCCCAGCGCTTCGGCAGGAAGGACCATCTGACACGCCACGTGAAGAAGAGCCACTCACAGGAGCTACTGAAGATCAAGACGGAGCCTCCTGATATGTTAGGTCTTTTAGCATCTGGGTCACCACCTTGCTCTGTGAAGGAGGAGCTCAGCCCCATGATGTGCGGCATGGGTCCCAATAAAGACCCCATGATGGGCAAACCGTTCCCAAGTGGGGCCCCTTTTCCGATGGGCATGTACAACCCCCACCATCTCCAGGCCATGTCTAATTCTGGGGTGGGTCACCCACACCCGTCCCTGATGCCCAGTCCCTTGTCTGCAGCTATGGGCATGGGCTGTCACATGGAATCCCCTGGACCTCTTCACCCACACTCCCATCACCACCACCATCATCACCACCATCACCACCACCACCATTCCCCTCCGCTGCCCCCACACCACCAGCCTCCGGCTCCCCAGCAGCAGCACCAGCCCCAGCCAGCCCCCAAATACCAGCTGGGATCTACCTCATACCTGCTGGACAAGCCCTTGAAAGTGGAGATGGAGAGCTTCCTCATGGATCTGCAGAGTGGCTCGCCAGGCCCGGTTCCCTCTGCAGAGCCACATGCTGCTGCCTCACCCCCCAAGGACGGACTGGAGCCCACCTCGGGCCTGGTGGATGAGCTTTGTGGGGATCACCTCCTGTCCAAGAGCCCTGCGGTGATCGCTGAGTCTCTGTGTGCTGCTAACATGGACTTCTCCCACCTGCTGGGGTTCCTGCCCCTCAACCTGCCTCCCTACAGTGCCCCTATGAGCACGGGAGGGCTGGTGATGGGTTACACCTCATCCGCGACCCCCTCCTCTTCTTCTTCCTCTTCTTCCTCATCTCTGCACGCTGCCGAGCCCCATGCTGCAGCAGTCGCCGCGGCAGCAGCTGCCGTCGCTACGGCACCTCTTACCTCTTTGCAACCGCAACCTCAGGAGCAGCAGAGCTCCAGCGGGGGTCTGGGCCTCGGACCCCTGCACCCCCTCCCACCAGTGTTCAGCTCCAGCCTTAGTACCACCACGCTGCCTCGCTTCCACCAGGCCTTCCAGTGAGAGAGCTAGCCTTCTGCCCAGCCCAGCCCCACCCAGCCAAGATGGTCCCCATACCAGCCTCAGTGTGGATATTTGGGGTTGTGGCTCTTGAAACGGCCTGGTGATGAAGTTGGAGAATTAGAATAAGTAAATACACGAAAATGAACACTTAGAAGCCTTAAATGAAAGTGCACAAAAGCTTTTGATTGAGCCTTACAAGGAAGTTAAACTCCTTTAAACAAAAAGGAAAAGGTGAGAAAAGAAGCTGAAGCAGCTTTTATTTGGGCTTTTTCCCCCCTTATCCTATAGTTATAACAATGTATTAACCCATCCTTTTTATTTCCATTTACTTTCCCTTTTTATCCCCCTTCCATCCCCTATTTAGTAGTATAGAGGGCAGGATCAGTAGGCCAAAAGGCGTGGTACTGCATACTTTAAGTAATAATATAAAAAAAAAAATCAAAGATAATTTTTAGTGAAAATTATCTGTCTTGTTGTGACCCAGAAAAAAAATAGTTTGAAGTGGATATTTTGTTTTACTTTATTTTTCTTTTCCATATGTAAAAACATGGTAGAATGTGTCTCATCTTGAGTTTTGAACCACCCACTCTAATAACCTAAACGTCATGATCAGTACAGAGAGTCTTTCCTCTCTCTCTCCCAGTGAAGGAATGAAGAGATACAGACATTGAGTCGAACGATTGAAACCTTAACTCTAAAATTCTCCTCTAGGTGATTAGACGAGAGCCACAAAAGCCCCCTCTGCGTCTGAAAAAGTGCTCTTTAAACAAGGAAAAAATTAGATGGATGTCCCCGTTATTTTCTTTTAACTGTAACTGATGTGCTCCTAGAGTCAGGTCAGTTTGAATGAAAATAGCTCACTAAATGAAAATAGACTCTTATCATGTGATTGATAAGAAACCTGTTTGCTTCCAGACACACACGGCTACGCATTTTTAAAGAAAAGGAGGAAAAAAGAAAAATGAGTGAAAGTGTGTGGAAATGATGTCATATCACGATGGCTTTTTAACTGTTCCCCCAAGAGAAGCACTTTTTTTTGAAGGCACTTGACCTTCAGGAATCTCCTCGGGAAACCTTTTTGTCTCCTTTCTTCGTGACTCCTAGAGGTTTCCACTGCTTGAGACTTTCTCCTCACTCTCCTTCCTTCACCTGTCTCCCTTCTAACAGTTACCTTTAAAAGCCCCCATCATAATCGCATAATGAGAATTGCAGCTGCTTCTCGGCTGCGCAGCATACCTAAAATATCTATTTTTTTGGAACAAACACATCTTTAGGCAGTCTTTAAAAAAAAGATGCATCATCATTGTGATGATGAACCCTGACATATGTGAATGGCAAAAAAAAAAACAAAAGAACTTCAGTGACAGATGAGTAAAAATGTGTTGAAAGAATGTTATTGCAGTGTACGAAATATCTCAAAAATGAATATTATTATTGCTTTTATCTCAGTAAGGTGTATTTTAGGTAGACGTATTAAAACTAAGTGATGATGTTTTTGATGTCTGGCAGGTTTACATTTGTGTGTATCTTGCATTTTTTTTTTGATCAAACAAATGGATGAAGTATTAGCTTTTTCCCTTAAGCTTTCTCTGTCATATCCAATCTTTACCTTTACATGTACTTGAGTTAGTATAGCGGAATCAGAACTGTGGATGGGAAGTATCTATAGAAGGCTGTTAGTGGCTTAATAATCAATTAGGATTTGAACTAGATAGATTGTTGGGATGCTGACATGGATGGCCTACGAAGCTATGACTGTAGGTCTTTATCCAGTGGAATACGTAAACCCCTGTGCTGTGGCGAAATCCCAGCCGATCTCACCACCAGCTCAGTGGATGTCTCAGAGTTTAGATCCTTTCTAACCATTCACCACCAGCCTATAAAAACATGAGCCCAAAGTAAACCTAAGCTTCAAAGTGAAATAGGTGCTCTTTATCTAGCGCTGTCTGTGGCATGACCAACACATCTGGCATATCCGTGACTTCACACAGAGCTGAGCTCCTGCATCATCTGTGATAGTTCATTTTGTGCAGAAATGTCATTCCAGTCGTAGAAGAAGAAGACCCTTTCACTTTGCTGATAGCAGTCGTCATGCCACAGGCGGGCCCCGATCACCATTAAATGTTGTGTAAAAAAAAAAAAAAACAAAGAAAAAAAACAGGAAAAACTTAGCACATAGAAATGAAACATAAAATACATATTGCTGCTTTTAGCTACGGTTGCTGATAGACGACAACTGTAGACCACTAGAACATTTCAATTATTTTTTTTTAATTTTTGTTATTTTTTGCAAGATGGACAGCAAGCTGAAAACATGCACAAAACCGAACCGACAAAGTGTTCATCATCCCCGGGCCCCATCCCCTCTGTACTCCTCCTCCTCCTTTCTCAGCTGCTTTGTAGAGTCAAAGGTAAAGGGTCTGAAAATATCCGGAAGAACGCAGTTACTCAGTTCCCAGGCTTTGACATTCAAAGCACAGGGGGACACACGACTGACTGCACGATTTGGGGTATTGCTCATAGTCATATATTTGTTTTGTTTGTTGTCCTATGATATATTATTTTCTGTTTGTATAAAACAGGACCTCGAAAAACAACACAACACATCACCTCATTTTTATTTGTTTTATTTTTCTTACCAAAACCTGGGGAGAAGAAACTACATTTTTGCACAATTGCTTGTTACAAAATGCTACAAGTGTTATCAGCTTTTTTGATACTGTAGGATAAAAAACCCAGTAAATGAGCAGCTGACGGCCCCTGTGTGTTAGACAGGTGAATATTCCCCTGGGGGGTTGGAACAGCTGAAAATTCAGAATCAGCAAGCACTGATGTAGGAAAAGCTTCCCTGCAGTCTGACTGTTAAATCACAACTTTGTCGCTAAAATCGTAGATTTTATAATCCAAGTTCTGAACTAATTTGAAACTTATTTTATTAGTCTCCCCCCCTGGAGAGTCATTATTTTGATAATGACTCTTGTAAAATGATCAAACTTTTTATTGATCCTAAATGAATTAGCTGTCAGCACCTTTCTAAGAATTTACATGATCTATTAAAAAAAGACAAGATTCAAATTTGATCTTATTAATGCGCTTAAAAAAGGGTCATTTTTAAGAAAAACCCTCTTGGCTTAAGCCAAATTTGTAGCAATCAAATTGAGCATTTATATTTTTGCAACAAATATGAATTTAGTCCTTAAAAAAAGTTAAAGAAAAGCTTTTGGCATGTATTAAGTTTGTCCTCCCTGGGTTTCTGTGAGCTAATCTGAATTCTAGCACTTTCAACCTTTAAAAAAAGAGTATTTTTTCTTTTAAAATTTCAGCTTATATGTTCATATGTTTTTAATTTTGTATTGATCCTGTATATGTATGTGCCATTAGTTTGATGTGTAGACTTTATCAACCTTTGTGTATTTCTCTTCTCCAAAAGAATAACAGTATTTTTGATAGACTTTTCACTAATATCCCTCTAAATAAGAGCCCCCTGCCCCTTCTCTTTTAAAACTTTTTTGTTTTTGGGTAACCAGCTTTGCCTTCTCTCTCTCATAAATTTATCTAATCAAACTCTGCAGCCAAGTACTTCAAGAGAACAGCAACATCATCTGTTATTCTGAGGCGGTGGGAAATGAGACCGTTGTCAGAAGAGTGTCAAAGCCACAACCTGACCACAACCTGCCATTGAAATGCTGTTGCAACAGAGACCCATCTGCATTCCACTTTTAGACCATGTAACTGGCAAAAAGTGAAGTTGAGAGTGACCCCAAAACTTAGCACTTAAAGAGAACAACATGCAGATAATGACTCATGTATGGATAGTGTCATAAGAATTGGAGTTTCTGTTTTCAAATGTTGCTTTAAATCAATGTTACTAAACATAAAGTCATCAAGTAGAAGGAGTGGAGGAACTAAAAGGAGTGTAACTGTTAGATAGTTTAAGACAGAAGTGAAAAAGTTGTGGTCAGGCCATACTTGTAGCTGTGAAATGCTGACAGCAACAGATCTCACACCTATCGCACCACCTGAGCTTACATTGGTGACTATTTTTAGAGGTGTTTATAGAGTGATTCACCCAAGACTGGGTCCCTCATTCTTCATAATGGGGTCATTCTGGAAAAATGGGCTCTGTCTCTGGACTAATACCCTGATCTGTATGGAAGCCCATTTCATCTAAGAAAGAAAGAAAGAAAAAATAACTAAATGTTAGGCAAGATAAAATAAAAATACTGGAGATGCATGATATTGGATTTTTTGCTGATATCCGATATATATTGATATATAACAACTCATTTGACTGATATCGGTATATCCACTTTTTTCCCCTACTGAATTTTAGTGATCATCAAGTCTCTTCTATAGTGGAATGAACATCATATTATACATACTCTTAATGTGATGGCCCACCAGCAGATGGTGACATGGAATACAGTACTTTTCAGTGTATGTAATATTCATTTATTGTGCAAGATAAGAAAAAGCATGTCGGCCAATTCCGACAGTTCGTTTTAAAGTTGATATAGGCCAGTGCCGATGAATATATCATCAGCACTTTGGCCGATTCCGATATTTATTTTTTCAGCTAATATCAACTGATACCAATGATGTTCCGATATTGTCATTGTCATTGTCATTGTCATACTAAATTAAAATTTGACTTACAATCTAACAATTCTTAGCCCGTACATTTGAATTAGTGTCATAATTTTGACTTAGTATGTAAATGTTTTTACTATCTTCAAGACTTGACTTCTACTTCTTTATAACTTCTAGACTAGGCATACATTCAAAATTGTGAACTATGACTATGAACATTTTCATTTACAATCATCATTTTTATCATGAGTTGGCATCTTATAATTTTAACTCATGATTCGTGTTTTTCCATAAATTTTCATCTTTTTTTTTTTTTTGGCATCAGTGGGCTTCCGTAGTGTGAGTTAATAGTTGAGACAGTTGATATAAAATGGATACATTCCCGACCTCTGACGGTGATGTTATGTTGTTCCTTGGCTTGGCTGTAGCTCCATTACCTCGACCTGCACCTACTAGGGATGCACTTACCCTCACCTCTTCCTCTTTACTACTAGGTGCAGAACACAAACATTTTAAGGGAATTTGTTCTTCAGTTTAAGAAACTGATTTGATTTTAATAATGCTGTCTTCTTTCTCTCCCTCTCTCTCTCTCTCTTTTTTCGCTTTTAGTAAGAAACTGGGTACTGTCTGAAGCAGGCAACATCCACATGTAGTTTTATATATTTCTAGCTTAATGTAAGTCTTGCATTCCAACCTCTTTGTGTATCTCGTTTAGTGACATAGCCCATTTTATTTTTATCACTTGCTATTACAGCCACCTCTGGAATAAAAAGGGTGAAAAAAGGTGAACGAAAATAGAATATTTGCATTCACTTACACTATTTTATATAGCATGGAGTTTATCAACTACAGGGAGAATTATATAAATGATGTGCTTCGGAGAAAGAAAGAAAGAAAATGAGAAGTTTTGCTTTTTGTTACATATCTCACATGCAATCAGTTGCTGCAATGTAGAAGTGACAGATTTGTATATTGGTTGATCCAAAGAGATGATGAACACAACAACAGAACTATTGACTTATTGTACAGTACAGTGTATCTTTGAGTTGTCATGTGTTATGTTGAAATGATTAAAAGACAAACCAGCGGTTTCATACCCTCTTTGCATTCTATTTCTTATTTTGAAGAGTTTCCTTTCCATTGTCTATTGTAAAATGTGAAAATCTACTACAAAAGCACAGTATAGCAAAAGTCATATGTTAATATTATCTTAAAGGTTAGATGGCCCAAGCCCTTAAAAATGACCAGAAGTACCATACAGGACACTGGTCATGTCTATTATATTGTTTTCTTTAGAAAATATGGCTCAAATTTACTACAGTTAAAAACTTAAAAAAAAATAAGTTGATTCTAGAATGGTCTCTAATTTTCCATCAATTTCCACTATTATGAGTTATGAAAAAGTTATTTTAGTTGAAGCTAAGTAAGTTGTGTTGAATAAAAAAGTAGCTGTTTAATTTTAGGTGATTTTTTTTCTTGAATTCCTGCCAAATTGAAACAAAATGAATCAACTTGTCATTTCTGTGTGCCAGAGACTTGCAGCACCCATTAACACATCCTTCAAAATGTCTATTTTATTACATTAGGAAAAGTACAATGTGCAGAGCCCACTTGAATCGCTCTTTTAACCTGAGACAGTCTGGATCTGATATGAGTTGAGTCCTGCAGAAATAGGATGTGAAGTCCAGCGGCCATTGACTGCTTGCTCTGCTGCTGTTCAGCAGCTAACAAGTGGAGCTAACTGCTAACAGCCACCACTGTAACAAATGAATTTGACAAATCCATTCAACAGCCCCACCATCCATAGTCAGACACACACGGCTGCCAACTTACTGCTGAATTGCAGCTCATAACTTGCACCAATGGCTGATGATGCTTCAGTCTTTTTGCCGGCCAGCGAAACATTCTGGTGTTGAATATTTACAGGAGTTTACCAGCCTGTCACTCTTGCGGCATTTGAAGATAATTGCAAGCACGGCTGTTCTCGGCTTTCAGTGTTGATTAGTCCACCGATAACATTTTTGTCTCATCAGCGAAAATGAAGCATAGATTTCTTCTTAGTTTTCATTATCAAGATCTATTTTTAGCATTCATTGTCTCATTTTTGTCATGAAAAAAAGGTTGTTGACGAAACATTTTCATCCAAGAAATTAGCACTAGTGGAAACTACATTCAGATGGAAGTAGGCCTATATGTAATTTACCTAACTTCTAGCTACTTTACAATGAAAAGGAGTTAAACTACATCTTAACTACCCTCAAAAAATTTTAGCTTGTCAGAATTAAACTAGTTTCAAAAAGTAGTTCAACAACATATACATAAAAGGAAATAATCACAATCTGAGTCTGGAATTTCGTATTGTTAGACAAGAGTACAAATGAACAGACACTAACTCTGAATGTAGGTGTGTTTGATTTAGGGACTAGAGCAGGCCATCCTCACCAAGGCACCATGAGACTGTGTTTTAAGGAGAGGACATGGAGCAAATTTTTGGGGTGGAATCAGGAAAACCTTAAAAGGAAACACAGACAACTTGGTGGATGAGGGGACTTTACACAAATAGCAGGTGATTGTCATTAAATGACAACCGTGGCCAATGAGCTGTGGTATTGT